TAAGTTTCTTAGGCACTGAGTTACATTAGCGTTTATTCTGGTAGATTAGTAAATTGGATAAGTTCCTTTAATTATCATATCATAAATAAACTATGTATTAATATCTAATTCCCTGTCTGAAAGCTGTGTCAGACACAACCTGGTTTTATTTTTTGAAAATTAGTTGATCAAATGCTTCAAATATTAGTAGGCAATAGGTGACAGAAAGAATGCTAAATGCAAAAGAATTTCATGAATGGTCTGTGGAAATTCTGTTGCTTCCTTCCCTGCAAGGACTCCCACTTGCCAATCTTTTCACTCCTCCCCCAACTCTAGCTACAGATTCCACCACAGATTTCTAGCACAGCGTCTTTATTTAGATTTTTGCTAATATTATCAGAGAAGGTCCTTCTGTGTATACCAAGACACACATCTTATTTGCATGTGCTGCAAATATGATGCCTATTACAATATCTCTTAGGTATCAGTTGAAGACTACTCTCTTCACCCTGGCTTTCTTTGTATGAATGTTGGAGGAATTGTTTTTTGTTTTGTCTCTCCTTCCTTCAATTTTCTAATTTTTATTACAGTATTTTAATTATTATTATTACAATATTTTGTTAGAAACCACATTTCAGAATTGATTTGAAAGCAATTGACATAGAATTTTATTGAATTAATAAATACATAAACTTACAAATTATATAATTTTGTTTTTGCTGCACTTGGCTCAGTAGTTGTTATTATTATTATTATTAATTAATTAATTAATTAAATTTTTATACCACCCTCCTCCCGAAGGACTCAGGGTGGTGAACAGCCAAGATTAAAATACATACAATATGAAAATTAAAATAAGTTAAAACATAATTAAATCAATTTGGCTTCCCCAATTTAAAACCCTTTACCCATAAAATTAACAAGTTAAAAATTTTAAGCCAGCCTGGCTTGCTGAAATAGAAAAGTCTTCAGGGCCCGGCGGAAAGTACAGAGATCTGGGATCAGTCGTATCCCTGGGGATAGCTCATTTCCAAAGGGCAGGTGCCCCCACAGAGAAGGCTCTCCCCCTGGGGGCCGCCGGTTGACATTGTTTGACCGACGGCACCCTGAGGAGACCCTCTCTGTGGGAGCATATTGGCCGGTGGGAAGTTATCGATGGCAGAAGGTGGTCTCGTAGATACCCAGGCCCTAAGCCATGGAGTGCTTTAAAGATGAGAACCAATACCTTGAAGCGCACCTGGAATAATTAATTTTATAAGAAAAGCAGTGAATTTGTATCAAGTCAGGGTAGAAATTTCAGGGAAACTTATGGTAGTCCCAATACAAGGTACATCTCTTATTTTCTTTTTTTTCTTTTAATTACAAATTAGTCAGATGCAGTAGTTTCTGCTCAATGATTCTTCCCATGTACTGTTTAATCTCTTCGTAAAATATTGTTAAGATTGACACATCACTATAGAGATAAAAGTCAATTGAATAATATGTACAGTAGTAATTTATTTTATTTGTACCTTAATATGGTGAGGGTTTTTATTCACATTTCCATTATTTAGAAGTATGTCCCCTTGGAGAATATATAGAAGAATTTGTTTTAAATGAGCAGATAATACCTTCTTTAAAATTTATAAGTATGGCAGAATCAGAATCACTTTTTTCTGGGTGGTTATGATGTGGCAATAAAAATATGCTTCTTATTCAAAGGACACACATTAAGGAGAAAAGACTTTTGTGAAAATGTGTTAGACATTCATTTCTATACTTCTCAATTAAACCATCTGGGAAAAATTCTAAAAAATGTCACTGTTATGTCATTCTTCAGCCATACATATGCCTTTTGCTTATTTGAGATTGACTTTCATTCTTATACAGAAGCAGGAAATGGATACAATCTTGCTGCAGCTTTATTTATTACCAATATCCTGCTTGAAAGAATAACTCAGGCACTTTAATCTACCTAATAAACATACAGAAGTGAAAGCAGACGTGTAGACGTTCACTATGCTTATTTATTTATTTATTTATTTATTTATTTATTTATTTATTTATTTATTTCCGCCTATTGTCCCATGGTGACTCAAGGCAGGTTACAGAATATAAAACCACATTGAAAACAATAAAAACTAACAAAAAGAATCAAATAAATTAATATAGTACAATATAACAAAATCTTTCTCAGAGGGAGATGGTAATGCTGTTTTATAATCAGCCACTAGGGATGGATAACTCTTTCCATTTTGATTTTCTCAGCCTTCTTTCTTCTTAGTCTAAATTTAGTTTATATCTTATTTTCATGCTATGCATCCCATTGAAAATCAGTAAAAAGAAACACTGCATTCTGTTTTGATACTTAGTGGCCTGGCCAGGGTTGTCAAATGTTCTGTGGGATACTATGAGAAGCTGTCATCCAGTGTTTTCATAATCACTATCTTTCTGTGCTTAGAATAACCTATATAACTGCATGCCCAGCTAGATGGCAGCACCTAACTGATCATAAAAGGTTAAACACAGGTGGACCTGCAGTTTAGATTTAAAGATATCCATAAAGATAGTGAACATAAAAACACTTAATTCTAGTGAAGTAGAAATGCGATAGTAAGCAGTGGTGAAATTCAATTTTTTTTACTATCGGTTCTGTGGGTGTGGCTTGGTGGGCATGGTGTGGCTTGGTGGGCATGGTTTGGTGGGCATGGCAGGGGAAGGATACTGCAAAATCTCCATTCCCATCCCACTCCAGGGGAAGGATACTGCAAAATCCCCATTCCCTCCCCACTCCTTGGGGAAGGATATTGCAAAATCTCCATTCCCACCCCACTCTGGGGCCAGCCAGAGGTGATATTTGCCGGTTCTCTAACTACTCAAAATTTCCGCTACCGGTTCTCCGAACTACTCAAAACTTCCAATACCGGTTCTCCAGAACCTGCTGGATTTCACCCCTGATAGTAAGGCTATCAAATAGTTACTGCTTGTTCTTATTCCTTACAAGTTTGTTCAATGAAGGAAATGAAACAGCAAAGTTTTTACTTAATTTATACACTACTAAAACTCATTTTTATGACCTTTAAGTGGTGAAATCATAGGGACAATTTTTGAACCAAGTTACCTGAAATGAGCTAATTTACACACTGTGTTCAAAAGCCAGCACCCATGTTCCATACATCTTCCTCAATCCATGCAACACCTCTTGGGCATACTCACACATCCTTCCTAGCCTGCCTCCCCCCCATGCCATTCCTGACCTGTACAGCATCTCTTACTCACCCCCAGGTGCCCTTCCCGATTCATGCCCACTCTTCCCACAGGCCATCTCCAATCAGCGCAGCTCCTCTCACATACTCCTACAAGACCCATGCCTTATTTATGATCCACCCTAGCATTCATATGCCCCATTTGGCCTGTGCAGACTCGTTAACTTACAAAATTACAACTGACTTCCCTGAAGACAATTACAATTCATATTTTAAGTTCCAATAACTCTCACAGTCACATAACTACACTTTGGGAGTTCGGCAACTGGACCACATTTATGTCTGTTTGTATTATCATGCAACTGAATTGTCCACGTGACATCTTTTATGATATTTTTGCTGAAAACTGGCATTTAATGCCAGTTTTCAGCAAAACCAGTCCATTGTGAACCATTGATTTGCTTAATGACCACAGCATTTTCTTATTAACTATCACAAAAATTATAAAATCAGGTTGATCATAAGTCGTTTATGACTGTCAGATGTTACAACTGTGATGAGCAGATTCCATTATGATCATAATTTGAGGACTACCTATATTCCTTTCTTTGGTCAGTTTGAGGTGATGGGATTTTGGATGACATTGCGTCATCTTGAGCATCTAATTTGAAATACAATCAAATAGCACAACAGAAAAAAAAAGGTCCAACATATTTGCTTTCATATCTGTAATGTCCACTTTTTGTGTTTTATGGAGGACCATGCAAAATTATGACGCTCCTCCTTTGGTTTGAAAGGATACAGTCTAAAATATTGACACATTCATTTCTTATTCTATGCACCTGGTAGCACTTTTATGCAATCATACCCTTTGTGTCTATGGGAAATTGCAACCATATATTACAGGAGGACTCATATTGTATATCTAATGTGTTTTATTACTAGGAAGGTAAATAGATATGACTTGACTTTGGCACAGACTCTTTTCTTCAGTGAAATTAACATAGCTTTTACTTGCTTTTTAAGATTCTGGAAAAATTTCCTCTTATGAAGAAAGCTTTCCTATAAGTGGTTGTACAAACCAGCTCTAACTGGTTGTACAAGCCACATTAATAGTGATGATAGCTGCAGTTTCACTGTTTTGAGATTTCTCTATTAAATTCATGTAATACCTCTCCTGTGGGAGCTGCACTGGTTCCTGGTGGTCTTCTGGGTGCGATTCAAGGTGTTGGTTACCACCTTTAAAGTGCTCCATGGCTTAGGACCGATAGCCTCCCACTGGCCAATACGCTCGCACAGAGAGGGGTTCCTCAGGATGCCGTCGGCCAAACAATGTCAACTGACGACACCCAGGGGGGAGAGCCTTCTCTGTGGGGGCACCAGCCCTCTGGAATGAGCTGCCCCTAGAGGTTCGTATGATCCCCGACTTGCGTACCTTTCGCCGCGCCCTGAAGACTCTTTTATTCCACCAAGCCGGGCTGGCCTAATAGGAATTTTTAAATTAGGTGTTTGTTAGTTTTTAATTTCGTGGGCCAAATTTTATATATTTGTTTTTAAATTGTTCTAAAATTTTGTGGTTTATATGTGTTTTAATATGGCTGTACACCGCCCTGAGTCCTTTGGGAGAAGGGTGGTATAGAAGTTCAATAAATCTAAATCTAAATCTCTATGGGCCTTGACAGAATGAATGTTGGATAATTTATGCATCTGATAAGTGAATTGATAAACTGCTTTGACATATTATTTTTAGTATGATACTATGTGACATCACAATAAAATGTAATATGCTGGTCCTCGAGCTAGAAATTAAGATAGAATTTTTTATTTGAATTCCAGGAGCCAGAAGAAATACAGTGCTGTGCGATACAAATATTTCTGACCAGCACCAATCCAGTAAATCCCATACAACATTCCCTGTTGTATCCCAGGTATGTTTCTCTCATTGAATCTAAGCTTTTCTTAAGGCAGTTTTCATACCAACAACAAGAACCATATAAAAATGTTTGCATGCTTCAGTTCCAAAGGTTTGTAGAAGTTTAATACACAACAATTCAGGGGTTTTGTTTGTTTGTTTTACTACAAGAATACAGGCTTGTGTATGTATGGGGGGAAGTTTCTCATTCTTTTACAAAAATAAGGTATGAATTTCTGTACTTTTCAAGGAAAATTTAAATTTTTGCTTCACTTTGGGTTAAATAATTTTGCCTGTTAAATTTTGTGTCAAACTCAAGGCCTGAAGGCCAGATCTGGATTGCGATGTGGTTAGATGTGACCTGTGGAGCTGCCCTGGAAATAGCGAAGGACTGGCCCATAGCATCTTGGCCTGGCCCAAGCCTGCAGGGTGCTGATCTACAATCAATGGTGGGCTGCAATTTTTTTAACAACCGGTTCTCTGCCCTAATGACTAGATGGGTGAGCTGGGTGGGCATAGCCAACTCAATGTCACTTATGTCGAGGGGCGCTTTGCCTTGCCTGCCCTCTCATGACTGTGGGGATGCTGCAACGGTCTTAAAATGAAAAACAGTCAAAAGTCACTTTTTTCAGTGCCATTGAATGTCACTTTGTCACTTTCAGTGCATTTTGAATGGTCACTAAATGAACTGTTGTAAGTTAAGGATTACCTGTACAAAAATACAAAAAGTTTTTTTGCTTGCAAAAAACTGCCCTAAATACCAATCATTAGATTAGAAATGAGGGAATACACACTGAAGATCAATAAGTCACAGCCATCATGGAAACCTAAGCCATTCTGTCTGAATACTTTCCTTTTCTTCAGCAATACCTGCAACCCAGAGTTACAAATCAGGCAGGGTGCCAGAGCACATTGATGAATTAAAATAGTTAAAATACAAGGATAACTATTAGCAGCCAAGTTACTCTAGCTCATAAAGTGAAATCCTTTAGCAGAGAGATCATTTAATCTCTCCAGAAAGTGGGTGGGTATATTTGGGCTACAAAATGCTGAGCTAAAGAAACAAATTAACAAATCAACATCTTGAGTGATGGCTAATCACATTCTACCTTTGTTCAGACTTTGCTGCAGGAAATTTTTGCCTATGAATATACTGTAGCTACCTATCTCTTTATCTTTTAAGTGCTGACATCTTCTGTGGCTATTGAGGAAGGTGGGGGCTGCTTTCTCCCTCTAAGAAAACATGTTTCTCCATTTCTAATTCAGGGAAATATATTCTTCCTTTTTAATATTTCTCAAAATATTTCATTCTTCTAGGAGAGGGATGGTGCTAACTTTCTACAATTGGTGCCATGTTATCATGAGAGAAAACTAAAACAAATTGGAAAGAGGATTCACTTATTATCAGTGAGCAATCATGTGCCTTTCCCACTCCGAAGCAATGCAAGAGACTCTTGGTTTCCAGAAAGTCCAGTTGCCTCTTGAAAAAGAAACTTTGGGACAATCATGACCTGAATGACTGAAGAATCCCCATAGACAAGAGACTTCTGTGCTCAGCGAGCTGACAAAGCAGAGTTTTCCACCCAGGAGAAGTAATCATTAGATCCATTTGCACCACTTAAAGATACCAGTTGGTCCTTAGGTAATCCTTAGGTAATCATCCAGATTTAAGGAAAGATCACATGCCCCCCAGAAAGGCAGTAAAAAAATCAGACAGAATGCCAAGCTTGCATCCTGCCTCTCAGCCATTTCTTTCATGGCTATGCCAACCCTTCAGTAAATAGCTGTTCCAGCCATGTTGGAAGTATACTTCAAAAAGCTTAAAACAACCCTTTAACAATGTTTAAGAGAGTCAAACCTCAGGAATAAAAGTATTTATTTATTTATTTGTCAAACATGTACAAGATAGCAGACATAGGTATAAACATAAACATAAACAAAGGAAGTATGACAGGGATGGTAGGCATGCTTATGCACGCCCCCTTTATGGACCTTATAGGAATGGGGTGAGGTCCACGGTAGACAGCTTGAGGTTGAAGCTGTGAGGGTTTGAGGCTGTAAAAACAGAGTCAGGTAGAGCATTCCAGGCGTTGACTACTCTGTTGCTGAAGTCGTATTTTCTGCAATCGAGTTTGGAGTGATTTACCTTGAGTTTGTATCAATTGTTTGTCCATGTATTATTGTGGTTGAAGCTGAAGAAGTCGTTGAGGTAAGACGTTGTAGCAGACAATTTTTTGTACTATGCTTAGATCGGACTGCAGGCGGTGCAGTTCCAGATAGTCCAAACCCAGAATTTTAAGACTAGTGGCATAAGGGATTCTATTGTGAGTAGAGGAGTGGAGTACTCTTCTCGTGAAATACCTTTGTATCCACTCAATCGTGTTAATGTCCAATATACAGTGTGGATTCCAGGCAGATGAGCTGTATTCAAGAAGTGGTCTGGCAAAGGTTTTGTATGCCCTAGTTAGCAATACAATGTTACCGGAGAAGAAGCTTCGCAAGATTAGGTTAATAATTCTTAATGCCTTTTTGACAATGCTGTTACAGTGAGCTCTGGGGCTTAGATCGTTTGAGATGAGTACTCCTAGATCCTTGACAAAGTGAGGATCGTCTATGACAGTGGTTCTCAACCTTCCTAATGCCGCGACCCTTTAATATAGTTCCTCATGCTGTGGTGACCCCCAACCAGGGGTGGGTTCTAAATTTTTTTACTACCGGTTCTGTGGGCGTGGCTTGGAGGTCATGTGACTGGGTGGGCATGGCTAGCTGGTCATGTGACCAGGTGGCCATGGCTATGTGTATAGAAAAAAGTCATTTCTGACAGATCCTCGCACTTTTGACTGGTCCTCACACTTATGACCATCCTCACATTTATGCCTGTGCAGCATTCTTAACAACCATGTCACTCATTTCACAACTGCTTCTCTTCAACATGGTGATAAGATAGGGCAAAAAACGTAAAATGTGAGGACAGTCGTAAATTCGAGAACTGGTCAAAAGTGCGAGGACCAGTCAAAAATAACTTTTTTTATTTACTACGGACCTGGCATTGCACAACATCAGATGAAGGCCCGGGCCGTGAGGATCTGTGCAACCTGGCAAACGGGTAGAGCCTTGGGGGCCGGAGCACCCTACCGCTTGGAGACAGCGGGTGCATGCTCCCTTAACATGATATGGCCCCCTGCTCCCGCCATATCTACCCCTCCCACTCACAGTACTGATGGTAAAAACACAGTCCGAACAAGCTCGACCCCCTCCATTGCCCCCGGGTCCCCCACCCGCCCCACCGCGCGTCGTGGCCGGGCCCGACCCTCCCCTTGGTGGGTTATCCCCCAAACCCACGCCCCTAATTCCAATACCACCCCCCTCCCCCCTCCCCAAACCCCTTAAAAGGTTAGACATAGACAATTTTAAAAAACCCCGCAACCCCCTCTTTGCGACATGCCACCTCTCGGGGTTCCAAAGCCCGTCATCGAGGTAGGCCCTCGATAGAGTGGAGGGCCAAGCCTGCGAGAGGGGGGAGTCTCGCAGACCAAGAAGCTCCGCTGCTGAGTACAGTTTAGTCATAGTGGCTCGCCATGACCATATCCTAAGGGTCCTAAAAGGACAGGGAAGAAGGTAGGGAAGTGGGGAATCTCACACATAATTCACAGGACCAAGTCCACTGTCCCCTCACAACAGAGGACACAGTCACAATCCAGAACGACCACAATCCAAGGGGGAAAATCGATCCAACCACCCTCTCACGGTGATTAGGTCAGCTGGTCCGCCCCCATTTGTGGTGAAGTGGCAGCAATAGAGTCAGTACATCCAGTGTCCAGGGATCAGGTCCAAAAAACCGCCCTCTCACGGCAGTTGGTCCGATGGTCGGGTCCCCACCGCTGGTAAAGTGCTTATGTGTGAATACATCCCGATTCAGCCCTCAGGAGGCCCCAACACCAGGCCACCCTCTCACGGTGGCCAGCTGGTGTCCAGCCCCCTTAGCCGAAGGGATGCAGCTATGAACCGACCTCCAATTTTCCATAACCCTCTCCACAGTCAGGGGGTTCAGCTGGTAGTGAGAACATAGCGGAAGTGAGTCCCACAGGCTAAAGTTGGTCCCAGTGGGCCCGGTCTTAAAAGGGAGAGCTGGGGAGAAACAAATGAGGCGGAAGTGGGGCAGTTGTTTCAAGTCCCCAACCCCCCGCACAACCACAGTTTGAGGCCGCCTAAGGCCTGGGAAAAAAAGTCAGACCAGGTCCTTTTCGCCCCAGCCATGGTTGCAGGTCTCCCGGTCTTATTTAATTCTCGTTGGTTCGTTGACCCCCCAACTCCTAAACTCCGACTCCAGCTCCAAGGGGGGGGAGGTCGCCAACGCCCTCCGACCGCCGGCTGCCTCCACCGCCATCGCCATCGCCGCTGCGTCATCGTCGCCAGACTAAAAAGTCTGGCGGCATCCCAGAGATCTTCGGGGGTGCCCGGCACGTCTTGTAACTCTTCGGGCAACCCCCCCGGGCTTAAAAACCCACTGCGCAGCGGCGCCCCGGCGCCTGGACGGCCTCCGGCCTCGGAAAACGCCGCCGACGCCCAGCTGATCGGCCCGGCATCGGCTCCCGACATCGCGCCGTCCTCTCTGCTCTGCTCAGCCACGGAGGAGAAAAAACCCTCTCCGTGCTGGCAGAGAGCTCCCCCGGCCAGTCCTGGGGGTCATAGCTCTTCCAAACGACCCCAAAGGACCCAAAAGGTAGGTCGGCGCCCCATCCTCAAATCGCGGTCCCAGCGGGCGCCGCCATCTTTGGCATGCGCAAGTTGCTTCTCAATTTCAATTAAATTTACAATTTCTATATTTCCTTTTTACCATATTTATTCCTCATCTATTTTTGTAAAAAACCAATATTACCCTTCATCCTCATCTCTAATCTTAATCAAATTCAATTTTTTCCCTTCTATTCTATATTATACCCCTTTGCATTGTCATCTATTTTTATATCCATCCTCACATTGGTTAATTATGTAATTATGTAATACAGTTGTTTA